CATTGGTGCCCGTTAAATCGTTTCTATGTCTAGATGTTAACCTAGTTCTAATCGCCTAAGCCTAATCTTACTTAAGAGTCCGATGTTTAGCCATTACCCCTGAAGTCTCCCGGTGTAGTAGTTCCATAATACCTAGACCTGTACAGAACGATCTTAGGCCGTAAGAATTATATTTGCATTTTCCGCAACAGGTTTACGTATCAACTTTTTTAACCTGGTGGCGAAGGCACACTCACCCCCCTCACACTCACACAGTTAGTTAAGTTAATAAACAATACGAGTATAAACATTGTACATTGATATTTTCATATATCGCAAGAATATAAATTAATAAAAGTTTGTAAATACCATAAAACCTATTCTAACTGAGGGTTTTTTTTAAGATAAAATGCAAGGGAAGTGAAAACTCTTTCTATATTTATCTTCTGTTTTTTCCGCTTTGTCTATTTTGATCTATGTATCTTATCTGAGTATCAGAGGATAAATACCTAGTCAGGGACAACACTCGTAAATACTAGAAATTTTTACATTGAAAAATTAAATTTCCCTTTCATCGAATTGAAAAATATACAAATCAGATAATAATATACTTGTGTCGTCTCGCCTTATAAAAGTCTCATGGCTCAGCGAACACGCCTGCTGTGAACTTGTCATTCCTGGCATCGCACAAAAAGCTGATTTTTATATAGCGAAAGCGAAATCTAGGGGGCAGAAACAATGTCTCTGCATTGTTCTGGGTCAGTACATTTTCTACAGCCAAATAAAATGCCAAATTTGTGGCTAAATTGAGAAATATTCACCGAAATATATAGTACAAAGATAAGAGCCACCTGTAGGGGATGTCTGGCATGAGACAGCGCACTTGGGAAATAAATAAATAATAGTAGAGACTGATTAAGATCTTTTAAAGGGTACGTCTAATTTTTTAAGAACGATTCAACTAAGATAAAAATGTATTATTTATATATTAACAAGAAATGAAGCAACCTTTGAGAAACTAAACTGTGTAATTGATTTTGGATTGAACTTTAATTTAAATTTTGTACAGTTGTAACGGTTCCCCTTACAAAACTTAACAAAAAATTCAGTTAAATATTTTTTGACTTATTTTTTCAAATATTTTTCTTTATTGAGTACAATTTTGATTGCACATAGAGGTTTATATGATTTTTGTCTTTTCGGGCTTCGTACAAGAAAACCTTAAATATGTGAATAGGAATATTAGGTAGCTTTTTTTACATGCTAATTTTTAGGGTAGATCCAAGTTTTTCAAATGTCATAACTAAAATATGCATTAATTTTAAAATAGAAAACGTTATTGTTTTAGATTTTATAGGTCTAACAAATCTGCATACTGAGTTTTAAAATGTTAAACAACAAATTTTTAGGCAATTTTTTAAAATTTTAACGACTTTATCTTCTTTAGAACATATTAAATAAAAGAGGAAAATTTATATTTTAACTGGACGTGGCTAGATCGATTCCGCTGTTTATGCAGATCCATAATATATGGGGTCGGAAATGACTCCACCATTTGTTGAGTCGATACTTATCTATTTTTTTATATGACTGTTTTTTTAGACAAACCAAAGTTTAAAAAACTTATAACTTAGCCAAAAGGGCATTAATTTGAATTCAGAAACCGTTCCTATGTTAGTTTTTTTTGGGTTTATAAATCTGCATACTCATTTTAATTTTTTTAATTACATTTTTTTTTTTGAAAATTTTAATGATGTAATCTTGTAAATCTTTTTCTTCGAAAATTGAAAAAATGTCAAAAAATTATATTTTAACCGGAAGTGGATAGATCTACTCGGCTGTTGATGCTGACCAAAAAAATATATGGTTTATAGGGTCGGAAATAACTACTTCACAGGTTTTTAAGCTTCCGACTGAAATTATAAAACCTTGCAAAGGTTATAATATATGATATATATATATGCAAATAATGTAGCAAAAGTTAACCCCAAAGTCAGGATCATTCATGAAAATATCATAAGTGTAAGAAATCAATATTCAATTCAATTAAGTTGGACTTTTAACTTTTAGTTTACGTTTGTAGATATCCAAATGTATAGCTAGCACATCTGATTGTTAATCTAGACCTGATCCCTAATATATGTATTTATACTTGTAATATAATTTGCATGGATAAGACTTACCCCAGTAAAGGACACACGGTTAACCTTTTTCGTCATTTGCGTAATTCCTTCCAGTGTAAAGTTGTCTTCTTGGTGCTTTCAAGTAGACTTTTGATGACATCATCGAAGTTCGCTTCTTCCTGGTTATCCAGATCCATAGCATTGCTCAGATGATATTTCCGAAGTCGAAGGGCAAACAGTATCATGACCACAAGCACAGTAGATGTTAACAGCGGGGCGGCCACGGACAGACTGAGGCCGGCTCGCCAGCAGTGACCGTATTTATAGTCTCCGAGTAAGGAGAGCAAAGAAAGTTAGAGCGGGAGAGAGCGAGAGAGCAAGAGAGTAAGAGCTGTCTCTGGAGCTAAAGAAACAGGCCAGCTCGCCATTAACCCCAAAGTCAGGATCATTTATGAAAATATCACAAGTGTAAGAAATCAATATTCAATTCAATTGAGTTGGACTTTTATCTTTTAGTTTACGTTTGTAGATATCCAAATGTATAGCTAGCACATCTGATTGTTAATCTAGACCTCATCCCATATATATTCATACTTGTAATATAATTTGCATGGATAAGACTTACCCCAGTAAAGGACACACGGTTAACCTTTTTCGTCATTGTGTAATTCCTTCCAAGTAGGCTTTTGATGACATCATCGAAGTTCGCTTCTTCCTGGTTATCCAGATCCATAGCATTGCTCAGATGATATTTCCGAAGTCGAAGGGCAAACAGTATCATTACCACTAGCACAGTAGATGTTAACAGCGGGGCGGCCACGGACAGACTGAGGCCGGCTCGCCAGCAGTGACCGTATTTATAGTCTCCGAGTAAGGAGAGCAAAGAAAGTTAGAGCGGGAGAGAGCGAGAGAGCAAGAGAGTAAGAGCTGTCTCTGGAGCTAAAGAAACAGGCCAGCTCGCCAGCAGTGACCGTGTTTATAGTCTCCGAGTAAGGAGAGCAAAGAAAGTTAGAGCGGGAGAGAGCGAGAGAGCAAGGGAGTAAGAGCTGTCTCTGGAGCTAAAGAAACATAGAGGGAAAGAAATCTCTAGAGATGCACAGAGCGGGAGCGACATACATTTAACGATCGTTTCTATGCCAGCTATATGATATAGTCGTCCGATCTTAATAAAATTAATACTGAAATTATAGAATAATACAAAATATTGTTATCTTAAATTAGATAAAAATATGATAAAAACTGGAATAATTATATAGTGTATTGTAAAAATTTTCCGATCGTTGCTATGGCAACTTTATAATATAGTCGTCCGATCTTAACAAAATTAAAACCGAAATTATAAAAAATAACAACATATCGTTATCTTAAATTAGATAAAAATATGATAAAAACTTGAGCAATTATATTGTGTTTTGTAAAATTTTTTTGATCGTTCCTATGGCAGCTATATGTTATAGTTGATCGATCCGGCCAATGTCCTTAAAAAAACCTTATTGTAGTGCATCCACAAATGGGATACTTGAAAAACCATAAGATTCGTATATCATTCCTTTCTTTCTTTATTTTTATATTTAAAAAATAACAAGAAAAGCGAGAGAAGCAGTAGCAACAACTAATAGCAAGAGACAGAATGCATCGGACGGCTAAAATAAATACGCAAATACAAATCGAAAACGCAAAATAGAAAGCAATTGATATGCTAGCGGAGCGCCAATTTGTAGGAACTTGGCATTTTAGTTTGAATTTTGCGACGGTTTGCTGAATATCCAAATCGCGAGCGCCGCGAATTTTCCGTTCGAAAACGAATAGTTTAAATTTAAATAAGGATTCCAGTGTCTGGGAAAATTATTAACCCTCCTCCACATAGGCAATAATCAAAATATAAGTGATAAAAACTAAACAAAAGAAAGTTAAAAAAGTTTCAGTGAAATTTACATAACCAAAAGTTAGCATTTGGTAATCGAAATGGGCATTCCTGACATCCGGCTGCTGGTGACGCTGGAGTTCGAGGTCTACGGTCATGTACAAGGTGCGAACAGTTTGAGGATCAAGGAGCATGGGTCTAGAACCCAAGGCAACTAGTTTCCTAGGGCTAAAAATAAAACCCACAGTAGCTGGCTAGCTAGTTACTTTGGGTCCCCCACCTGTCCTTGACTTGGTTTCACGCCCCATTCCACTTTCGCTAGACTAAATAATATAATATGAGCATATATATCACTCTGATGATCATCCGTCAGGCCTGAATCTCACGAAAGATACCCGGGATCGCTGCACCAAGGCGGGCATCACGGGATGGGTAAAGAACAGCAAGCAGGGCACCATTGTCGGCAAAATGCAGGGTCCCAAGGAGGAGGTGGACAAAATGTGGGTACTGCCGAGATCTCAGAGCTATCATTTTAAGATATCCATTCCGCAGGATCACCTGGCTGTCCAACGAAGGTTCTCCCGGCTGCCAAATCGAGCGTTGCGAAATCCGAAACCAAGGCAACCTCAGCCGACTGGACTACAAGGACTTTGCCATTAGGTTTTAGATGTGTTTACCGAACCAAACAAATCATCAACATAACTGATGATTTGCGTGGCGCAGTTTTGTGTTTGTTATGTACATTATTTCTAAGTTTGTAAATATCGCATAAAAAAATAAAGAAATTAATAATAAAGTCTACGCTGTTTCAATTCATGGTAATTTCATAGGACTAATATATCAACAAAGCCTTGAACTTCGATTATAAGTCGTAAAATAAGGGAATAAACCAATTAAAAAAACCAATTTTTGAAGTAAGAATTTCGAATTTTACGTTGCAAGCAAATAAATCCTCACATTATACATATTCCACAATAAAATCTTCTCAGCGGATTCCCCTGCTATTTGTAGAATTCAGTCAACATTAAAACAGCTTCGTGCACATACGTAGACTGAAATCTATTTAGTTTTCAATACAGAAGCGTAACACTTGTTCTAGCAACATCTTTTGACTTAGACTACATGGTGCTTGGGGTTCCTAGCAGGACTGGAAACGGCCGGCAGCCTTCATGCGCTCGAAGGACTTGTTAGCATCGTACTTCCTGCAAGGCAAACCATCAGTATAAGATTTTTAGACCATAGGACAACAATAATTACGAGTAGAAGTCGGCATAGGCGGCCTTCTTGGGATCGTTGACGAAGAGCTTGAAGGCAACAGTCACGATGGCAGTCAGGCCAAGGGAGATCGCCAGGTTGCGCTTGATGGAGGCGTTGTGGAGGCCGCGGAGCACGGGTCCGGAGCTGCTGGAGGTTGCTGGAGTGTTGGCCATGTCGCTGCTGTGGGAAAAATCGAAAAATGATGTGAGAATTGCAGCAGTTACGTAAGGTGCTTGAAGGGGGTTGACTTAGAGCAGGGCTAAGCGTAGGATTGCCGTCAGCACTTATCAAGTATCTCTAGGGGCTTAACTAAACTTGAATAAGTACTTGTATTATTCCCGAACAAGATTGCAAATTGTTTAAAAAGGTAAAGTTATGTACTCACATTTGCAGAAAATAATTTGTGTCTTAGGGATGAGTAGATCGAAAAAACATCGAAGTAGTCGATATCGATACCAAAAATATTGAAATGTATGCGATACTATTCATACATGCGGGCACAACGCTAAAATATCAATAAAAGTTGTTGCCAGACTTTGTCAGATATCGCATTGAATGTGGTTCCTCTCCAGTTTCTCACGTATCTGTTAAAATTTCTTAAGTGAATTTTCCATTTTTTATGTTCGGCGAAATGTGAAGGAAAGCCCAAATAAATGCCCAATAAATATATTTGAAACTCTCAATAACCAGCGCTACCAGAGTTCGCAATTTGGACCTGTGTTGGTCAACACCAGCGATCAGGCAGCCCTGGAAAAAGTGAATACGGCAAAATTTAGTATATTACCGCACGCGACCGACTGGCAACACCGGCTGGAAAATAAAAATGGCTACCACTGAATGCAAATGGCGGTTGTTATTGTAATTGTTCGTGGAATTTCAAAGTTTTTTGTACAAAATAAACAGGAAAAACACATCGCCCCAGCGACAGCAATAGGCTGAAAATCAACCGCGAACCTTCCGCCACAACCGAGTGCGTCCACCGAGTGTTTCAGCGCCCGCGAACCGTGTGAAATTATGCCCCGAATTGGCTGCCCAAATGCGAGAAAAATTTTCGAGCGCCTGTGAAAAGCAATATTATTGGGCTGCTGTGCGTGAAATGGAGAACAGTGAGGGCGCAATAAGTGCGAGAGCCCTATTAATTAGCCCCTGAACAATGTACAGCCAGCGGGGAAGCGCGATTTGTGGCAACAAGAGCGCCTGAAAAGTGACGCAGGAAAATCCGTATCCGAATAAGCAAAGCAGCAGCAGCGGAGCCCTGCCCGCGCCCCGCACGTTGTCACTGTGTGTGTGTGGTGTGTGCCCGTGTGTGCAAGAGTGTTAGTGAGGCTACTACTAAAAAAAAAAGTAAAGGAAAAAGAAAAAAGTGGCAGCGGTGGAAAATGCCCAAAAACAAAGTCGCAGAGGTTAAAAACTAGCGAGTGAGCCCAGGTGCACATACAAATACATGTACGGTGGATCCCATATCGTCGGATCGGATCGAAAACAATTCCATTCCCGAAAAATACAAATAATCTCGTGTGTAATGCAAACATGCAATTGTTTAAACGCAAAGGACGCCACCTGAATCATCTGCCACCGATTTCCCCGAGCGGCGGGGACATAAAAGCTAAATGCGAGAATTGAGCAGCGTTCTACCAATTAAATCTACGACGCGTGCGATTGTCGTGTGATGATATGCCACTTAAACAGGTGAGTTAGTTGTTAAGTCGCGCTTTTCTCGGTGGCCCTTTTCTTGCCCTTTCTCGACGTTTTTCTGCCGAACAGCTGATCTGCGATTATTGCACTTCACGTCCCATCCACGAAGCGTGGGAGTGTGGTGGGGGGCTTGGAGTGTGATTGCGGCGGGGGTTGAAGGGTCGGCGGTCACCCATTGAACACTTGCGTCACCCACGCAATCTCTCTCCCACCAAAACCACAACACGAGCAACAAAAACAGCATCAGTTACCCATTTCAAACATGCATGCATTCATCAACTGTGTGTTTCTTTTCTTGTTCCATTTTTGTGATTTTATTAATCGACCCGCCCCTTTGTTACCCCCGCCTGAATTCTGGGCAAGTATTTTGGTTACCTTTTCCCTCTGCCACACTCACACAAACACAGGCACACTCTCTGGCCACACAGTCACACACACTCGCGCACACCCTTCCAAGAGGCCAAGAAGAAAAATGGCGACGACGTCGGGGTATCGATAACAAAAAAAAGGCATATGAAAACGCACGCACGCATGTGAAAATGCAACCTGTGGGCACCCCCAACCCCCCAACACACTATCCACTTGCCGCGCGTGGAAATGCAGTCAGCTGAAAAGCGCTATGGTTACTTAATTTTTGGCTGCTTCAAGCTGAACGCATAGATTATTGCCTGTGTTGAACAAATTGTTGTTGGAATTTCCAATGAGTCCCCTATAGCCATCTCGCTCACGCACGCAACACACAGAGCCCAGAGGCAGCCGCCCAAACAGGAAAATGGGATTAAAAACAGACAAAACCTATAAGGCGGGCAAAGCTTATATCCTCCAGTTTAAACTACGACTAGTTTTAATAATGTTAAATGAGTTGTTTAGCTGTATCAATGTGCTATCCAATAAACTACTCGGTGCGTTTGTGTGTGTGTGTACGCCAGGGCTGCAGCAGCTGTAGATAGTTTCGATATATCGATAAAATGTGTCTCATCTTTAGACAATTTCACTAGCTATTCTTCCTCTTCTTGCGGGCTCCTTAAATGTTAATTAAATGCCTTAAAATTGCGAAATGACCAACGTTTTTGGGCCATTGCAGCAGCTTGAACCGTCACTGGTGCGGATATTGGTGTCGCTCCCCTGGGATGCAGCGCAACGGCTGCGCCAACTGGCCGCCGAGGGCAATCCCGAGCTGCGCGCCCTCAACATTCAGTCCGTGCAGTTCGAGGGCGATTCTGTGATAACTTTGAAAGTTGGAGGACAAGATATTAAGATAACCAAGGGTGAGTTCTCTGTCATAATCTTCTTTCTTCCTCTATAACCGACTCCTTACCCTGCCCTCAGATAATGTAAACGAGACACTTGAGGCGGCTGGCTCGTCTTCCGGCAACAAGGGTAGTCTGGTGGCTCTGACCTCGGGTTTCGATGGCCCCAGCACCAGCAAGGCGGCCTCCGCCTACATGCAACAACAGCAGCAGCAGCGGATTGTGCAACTGCCGCAGAATGTTTCCAACGATGCAATCTCACTCCAGCAAAGGAGAGCGGCTCTGCAAAAGATGCCTCCGCAACAACAGCAGCAGCTCCAGCTTCAGCAGCAGCAGCAGGTTCCGGGAGCTCAGCAAACGCCGCCGGTGTTCAAATCCCCCAACACGGTGTGCCCGATGGAGGGAAGGTGCCGTTGCTGCTGCCCTCGCCTTCTGGAACGGCGGGTGTGCCGCGAGACTTTCCCTTTGAGAGCATGCGGCAGGCGCGAGTTCTGCAAGGTCGGGAGGCGGGCGGCCTGGGTCCGCCACCGCCGCCCAACGTGACGCTAAAGGTGCTGAAGAATTCGCCGCAGACGTCACAGAATGGCGAACTTACACCGACAACGCCAACGACGACGACGTCGGCGACGGCGCCAGGCAGCAAATCTCAATTCATCCAGCCACCACCGCCGCCATATCCGGGATTGGGAGTTGCCACGGGGGCCGCTGCGAATACCGCAGCTGCCAGCGGCAGTTCATCCATTGCCATAGCGGGTGCAAGTGCCAAGCCTGCGATTGTGCCCGTCTCCAGCCCCCTGCCCCATCCTCATCCGCATCAACATCAACTCGCGCATACGCAGCAACCCCATCCGCATCAGCCGCACCCGCTGCCCACGGCCACGTCGACGGGCAGCAATAACATTGCCATATCGTCGCCGCTGCTGGTGAATCTACTGCAGAACGACGGCAATGCCATGTCGAATCCGAACCAGCTCAAGTCTCCGCAGCAGCAACAGCAGCAGTCGCCGCTGATCGGTATGAGTCCGAGTGGAGCGCAGATGATGAACTCCCCGATGCGTTCCTCCGGTCCGGCGACGCCCAGTGATTTCCTCATGGGCGATGTGCTGAGTCCAGTGGTGCCTTCCTCCCCAACAACGCCTCAGGCGGCGGCGGCTCCTCCTTGCCCGCCGCCGGTAGTGATGCGGAGTATGCAGCAGCAACAGCAGCAGGCTATGCTCAGTCCCAGCGGCAATGGCAATCATTTGTATACTCAGCAGCAGCAACCGCAGCAGCAGCAGGCTCCTCCCCCGCATCGCTTTCAGCAGCAGCAAATGTCTCCGCAGGCCGTGGCCTTGCGTCAGCAACAATTGCAACGACAGCAGCAGCAACAACAACAGCAGCAGCTGCGATTCATGTCACCGCAGCAGCAACAGCAGCAGCAGCAATTTCAGCCTGCGCCTGGTAAGTGTCTTAGCTCTGTCTCTATTCGTAAGGAGTCCGTATTAATTTGCTTGCTTTTGCCCGACAGATTGCTTCAATAACATGGGCATGAGTCCCTTGCAACAGCAGCAGCAACAGCTGCAGCAACAGCTGAGACAGCAACAACAGCAACTGCGGCCTGGCGGACTGCCTTTGGCGCCACCGCCACCTCATCCGCAGCAGCAGCGCATGATGAGCCTGCAAATGCCACAGGCCTCACCGCAGCAGCAGCAACAGTTTATGAGCGGAGCATCACCCCTGGGACCCGCACTTTCGCCCGCCTCCAGTCACCATTCGATGCACAGTCCGCTGATGGCACAGCAACAGCAAACGCAAATGATGTCGCCTGCCCCTGCGCCGGGATCATCCGCACCCAGCGAGCTTACCGCTCACCATGTACCTGCAGCGCCGCCGCCGGACTACAACCAGGCGGCAGCCAACTCGCGCTGGCCACTCGCCGGTATCAATAAGCCTATGGATTCGGCCACCAAAAGCAGTTTCCAGGAGTTCACGCGCTACCAGATGCAGTACAATCTTCAGCAGCAGCAGCAGCAAGTCAACCTGCCGGGTCAACAACAACAGCAGCAGCAGCCACAGGCGCAGCAACAACTGCCGCCTCCGCCGCAGCCGACGCAGCAGCAGCAACTGCCAATGCAGGGACAACAACAGCAACAGACTACGGGCCAGGCTCAGGGTCAGTGGATTCTCTGATATCGCTGTCCGTGCTGGATGCCCTCACTACCAACGACCTGGACGCCCTGTTGCCTACTCTCAACTGTGATCTGGACTCGACGCTCAGTCTTGAAGATAAAAACGAGCTCGAATCGCTCCTGCAGGATGCAAGGACCTGGACCTGGATCTGATCGAGGACAATCTATCGGCGGTGGGCATGGATGTGGGTGACGCACTCAGCACGCTGCAGGAAGCGCCAATGGAACAACAGCAGCAGCAGCAAACGGTGATGCAGACACAACAAATGCTGCAAATGCCTTTCCAACAGCAACAACAGCAGCAGCAACAACAGATGCAGCAGCAAATGATAATGCAACAGCAACAGCAGCAGAGACAGCAACTGCAAATTCCTGCTCAGTTGCAGCAGCGCCAAAACCAGCAGCAAATGCAGAGGCAGATGCAACTACAACAGCAGCAGCAGCAACAACAACAACAGCTACAGATGGTGCAACGCCAACAGCAGCAGCAGTTGCAAGTGCAACACCAGCAAAGGCCGCCCCAAAAGCAATTCATTATAAATCCACACACCGGCGACATGGAGCCCATGGCTAGCGATGACAGTGACACCGAGGCCGAACAGGAAACAGCACAGATGCCATTCCGCACCAGCGGCGGCATGTCCAGCAGTGGCCTGGGCAACTTTAACTTTAATCCGGCCAACGACATGTCCCTGCCCAACAATCTCTTCTCCGAGGAGGACTCGAATTCGGCGCAGCAGCTGCCGATGGGCATTAGCAGCGACCAGGAGAGGTCACGGGACTCCTTGGCCTCCAATAAATCAGCAGCGTCGAGCAGGGCCAGAAAGACGCCTGTCTCGAAGGCAAACCACGCCAACTTGCTTGCCGGAGAGAATTCGCCACGTTCTAGCAACAGTTCTCCGCTGATTGGCTTAAACTCGCCCCAATCGATGACCAGCGGCAATGCAGGAGCTGCCGGAGGAGCAGCAAATAAGAAGGCCAAGCCAAATCTTCTTCGGGAGAAGCTACAACAAGGGGTCAAGGAGCGTAAGGCCAAGGATCCTGCGACGCCGAAGCCGAAGCGAGAGCGTGCGAAGGGTAATGCCAAGACGAAGGCGGCCGAGGAAAAGATCAAGCTGCGACTGAAGCTGGACAAGGTGGACACGGTGCCGGCAGCGGGGGCGGGATACGAAGGGCAGATTATAGTGAATCAGCACAGCAGCAGCAGTCACCCATGGTTGCAAACAACCACATGCAACAATTGCCACTGCAGACACAACTTCTCACGTTGCCCACGCAGCAGCAGCAGCCACTGACACAACAAGCTCAGATTCAGCAGCAGGTGCAGCAACCAACTCAGATTCAGCAACAGCAGCAACAACAGCAGCAACAGCAGTCTGTTCAGCAGACACAACAACATCATTCGGTCTATACGAACTTCCAACAACAGCAGCAAGCACAGCCTGTTCCTGGTCTCAACGAGCCGCGTGTGCCGCCCTACAGATCCGATTGCGTGGCAAGAACCATGTTGTCGTCAAGAACACGCGGAAGGATCGAAAGAAGAGTGGACAGAACCAGGAGGCAGCCATCGGGGATGACCGTCAGTTGAAACGCAGCTACAGTGATCAGCCGCCGCAGCAACTGCTTCTGGATGCGGTGATAACAAGCAAGCCAAGCTAACGCCGCCGCCGCATGTCAACGGATTGCCTATTCTGATACAGAAGACGACGGCAACAGTGGCACCGCAAGCGATGACGGGAGCAGCTACCACCACCAAGACCACCACAATTGTGGCGGGCAAAAACGGACTGACGATCAGTGCGATTGTGGAGGCGGCGCACAAGGCGCAGGCTCAGGCCCAGGCCCAGGCCCAACAATCTCTCACTGATCCTCAGCTAATTGTAGGCTCCACGAATACGGGGACCACGCCCACAACCACCACTCTGCAGCAGCAGCAGCTGAGCAAGATAGCCACCTCGTTGCCAAGCAGCATAACCCTGAGTGCCATCAACAGCAACAACAATAACAATAATGCCAACAGTGGCAACAACAACAATCGGCTGCTAACGATGAAGAATCCGATCAAGACTGCGGCCACCATCACACCCATTGTGGGTGGCAAGCCGATGACAAAAAACCATAAGCCGCCGCCATACATCACAGCCGTGCAACAGCTGCAGCTGCAGAAGCAACAGCAGCAGCAACAGCAACAACAACAGCAGCAGCAGCAACAGCAGCAGCAACAACAGCAGCAGCAACAGCAGCGACAACTGGCGGCGGCCGTAACCATGTTGCCCAGTGCGACGACCCTGAAGCGTGTGGAGATCACCAAGATCACGCCACAGGTCACAGCTGAGCAGGCTCCGAGCATAGTCCCATCTCAGCAGCAGTGGCAACGGCAACACTAGCTCCGACGTCGACCGGCACCACGCAAACGACTCAGCTGATCTGTGATAGAAAGTTGCCAGTGGCCATGCCGCCCATGACCACAGTCAACAGTGCCGTGGTGGTTGTCGCCTCCTCCGCATCTGCGTCCGTCTCTGCTACTGCCTCTCTTTCAACCTCCTCTACATCCTCGTCAATCAGTACCACCTCTACATCATCGCCAGCCGCTTTGCCCAACACCCTGAGGAACTCACCGGCCAGCAATGGAAGCGGGACACCCGGTCACGGCAATAACGGAGGTGGCGAAGATAGCGGCATCGAGTCGATGGATGCTCTGTCCGAGAAGAGTCCCCATCAGCTGTCCTCCAGCAGTCCCATTCAGGTGAGCAAGGCGGGAACCTTGGTGCAGCAGCAGCAGCAGCCGCAGTCACAGTCGAGCACAACTACGACAGCTATGACTGTGACAACGTCAGTGATTGCGCCCAGCTCGACGCCAGCTTCGGGTGCCTCTGCTGCAGTTGGAACTCCTGCGACCATTGGAGGAGTGGTATCTCTGCAACAGCAACAGAAACAACAGGCAGACGATGAGATTGAGAAGGCACTGGCCAAGATGGAGGGTGATTTTCCCGAGGATCTCGAGGACATTGTGTCGTCGATGATAAAGGAGACCAGCGCCAATGCCAGCAGTGGGACGGCGTTCCTCAACAGTCTGGAGAACTCGCTACCGGCGGCAACAGTGGCCACTGTGGCCACGGCGACGGTGGCGGCCACAACAATCACGAAGACAAGTAGCTTAGGCAGCGTCAAGTTGAATGGCGAACACCATATACTCGAACACGATGATCTCATCAAGAAGCTCACAGAGAGCAAGCAGCCGGCGGTCAAGACCACTGAGGTGAAGGTGAAGCTAGAGGAGATGCCACCGCTACTGACCATCAAGAAGGATCCAGCGAATAAGCCAACAGTAACGGCAGTCAAAGTGGAACCCAAAGTGGAGGTAAAGACGGAGCCAAAAGCAGGGGAACTCAAGCAGGAGCAGGAGAAGGTACAGGAGAGGCCGCAGACCAACGAGCCCACTGCCTCCTCTCTGCAACCCATTTCAATTGAGATACCAGCACAAGTGGACGGAGAGACGCCGAGGGTTAGAACCCGAGCCAGTAGTCGTTTGGAGAGTCCTTTGGATGCACCTAAAGCTAGTCCCGATCCCACCGCAGCCACTGCTACAGCGGCAGCTACAACAAGCAGCACACCCAGCACAGTCAAGAGCTTATCCCGCGCATCCTCCACCGCCAGCCCTCGGGTTTTAACGCCAACACCCAATCATAACAACAACAACAACAACAAGAGGCGAAGGCAGGAGTCCGAATGCGGCAGCAGTAACGATGCCTCCGACTTGGGCGATAGCAACATGAAGCGACCCCGTGTGAGCAGTGGAAGCGGCATCACCGTGTCTGCCAACAATGTAGGAGAAGCTGACACCGCTGCTGCAAACGTTTTGCCCAAGAAGATGGAGATTGAGTCATCCGATTCGGATGAACCGCTGATCGAGGTGGCCGGCAAGGTGCGCAACTCCAAGCAGGCCCTGGTGGAGGCAGTCGATGCGGCAGCAGCAGCAGCGGCCGTGGAGAAGCACGTGACGCGACGCAATGCCCAGCAGCAGCAACAACATCAGCAGCAGCACAGTAAGTTGGACTTTGACCCAAAAGGTTGGAGTCTAGCCAAAGCCTAGACTCTAGCAGAATGTTTATCATAATAGCCAGGTGCTTTGCATATTGTTCGTTGAGGGTTGAGGTCCCAAAGGGGTGTCGTTGTTCTATTGCCAGCTGATGAAGCAATTTGATGAATTTATTTTACCTAGATCTTTATAACAATAATATACCCTTTTCCTTGTTCTTCCCCTAGAAACCTCTAACAACTTGGGTTTGAATGCCACCGCCCCTCCACCAGGTACACCCAGAACGGGCAAGGCTCAAGCGCCAACCGCCGGAAATCCCACTGCCGCCAGCAGCAATCACAACGCCAACAGCAATCCCAGTGTGCCCATTTCAGTGGCCCCCACAACAACGGCAGGCGGAGCTGTGGTGGTCACCAGTCAAAACAACAGCATTGGCGGCGGCAGCACCAGCGTAGTCCATGCGACCCGAGGTGCCACAGCTGCAGCGGCGAGTAGCACCACCAACCCAGCCACTAACAACAATGTAAACTCCGCCACTTCGCCGACGGACGAGAAGATCGGCACTCGGCGAAGCGTGCGTGCCAGTGCTGCCGCCAATAAAATCATTTACAGTCGCAGTAATGCAGCAGCAGCTGCTGCAGCCGCCGCCGCTGCGGCAGAACCCAAGGGAACACCAGGCAAGGCAGCAGCTGTAGGTGGAGCGAACGCCAATGCTGGCAGTATAGAGAGCGTGGCCGAGGCCAGGCGGAAGACGCGCAGTGCAGGTGAGTTTTTAAATACCTTATAATACCTTATCTTCTAATGAGATTCATTATCTTCCATAGTCATTGGCGAGTCCATGTTGACCGAGGGACGACGGAGAAGAACGTCGCGTGACTACAAGTGACCAGAGTTTTGCGCCTTGGCTAAAGGCTTGAACCATCCGAGCGATGCGCACGAAGACGATCTGCTGGAGCTATTTGAAGACTTTGAACAGCAACAGCAGCCGCATCAGCAGCAGCTGCAGCAGCAACAGCTGGATATCAACCACAGCAGCAGCAGCAGCAGCTTTCCTTTAGCCCAGGCGCAGGACGAGGACGGTGAAGAGGCGACCGAGTATGAGAATCTGGCACGAGCAGCCGGTGGCTACATGGAGGAAGCCGATCACTTGCTGTCCTACCATAGCAGCAGCAGTGCCGCCGACGTGGATGAGGTACTGATGCCGGAGTTGGCCAATGCCACGGCCCTGGACTGTGGCAATTTTGTCGATTACGATGAGTTCAACCTGTGTCTGAACAATATACTCAGCGAGGAGGACGACGACAGCGGCGGCGGCAGTGGCGGTGGATTGGTAAGAAAACCTCATCTTCATCAGCAGCAGCAAACTTGGCGCGATGCCGGCGACATGCTAAATATTGTGCAGCTCAACAACGATCTGGGCTTGAGCTTTCAGGAGTTTGCCAGCGAAACAACGGCGGATGAGCAGCGCTCCGCCAATAGCAGCTCGCCCCAGCTGGCATAGGAAAATGACGATCGGACGATCGCCGGCTACTTGTATATATATCACACGCACTGATACTGATACTGATACCGAACGCTTTCGTTTGTAGTTCTTAGCTTCTTAGTTTCCGATTGAGGATCTTTTGTATAGTTAGTGGTAGCCACAAGTTGCAATAATGTTGCGTCTCATAGCGAGCAACATCACACCCAGACACACACACTCACCCACAGACAGACGGATGCAAGCGCCGCTTAAACTTCATTTACACTTTATTTTTCGAACCTATTATATATCTCTCATCTCTGGCACCGCCACTGCTCGCCCAAATGTAACCATTGGAAATGATCTGCTAGTCAAGTGAAACAGGCAATTTAATGTATAGCTCAGAAAAGAGGAAAATTGAACAAATTAGTTGAGTAAACGTTAACGTATTCGAGAAGCTCCCCTATACTCTAACATGTAGAATAAACTAAAAACTAGGCAAAGTAGTTGGCTGAAACATACCACACACCCACTCTCTCTCCCTCAACCTGGCATAATTTAATTTCTAAATCGGATTTCCACTTGTACATACTTTTTCTTTCATTTTTTATATAAATGCAACCCATGAACACCCCATTTTTAGTCTTAATTTGTCCTAGGGATGGCAGAAAATATTTAAATATTTTAACGATAAATCAAACAATCGGTAAAAAAGACAACCTATACACAACTTTTTTCTATTTTTTCTCAATATCGATTTTTAAAAGTTTAAAAGCAACATGTTTCGATATTTAAAATTTTCCCTCGATATATATATATTTACATCCCTAGTTTGTCCTACTTTTAACGCGCTGCGTCAAGTCGAAAGTCTTTAATTATATAGAAATAAAAGTAAAAGCTGATCCATTGGATCGAGCAGATCAGAGCAGTTAACGTGCACCCTTATTTTTTAGGTTTTATATAACCTTTTTTGTAATCTTATAAAATATGAATATAAACAGTACATATACAGATATATCTATAGCCTATATATAGTTTCCGTAAGCTTGCGTTGTTTCGAAAAATTTGTTTTTTAGTTTTAAATGCTCTAGCCTAAGGACACACAGTAATCTTAAAGCGAATTCTTTACCAACAATATATACATCCATATATATTATATATATATATGCACATGGAAACCGAAACCTATGCAATAAGTTAGTCAAAAGTGTAAAAAGGCCAAGCACCAACCAGAAAAAAATGAAAAACACAAGAAAACCTAAAAAAAAAAGAAGATACAAAGTGAGATCGAGGAAAGAGTGGAGAATATTGAGAATCAGTCGCCTAGTATTTGTCGTGAATGGAAAGGAACATATTATATATATATATATTATATATATACAAAGTACAGAAACAAACCGTATATAATGTTATATATTTTGCAAAAAGTAAATGAAAATATCGTGAAGGAGAACCAACCACACACACACAAAAAACAAAAATAAAAGTTGTATTGTATATAAGGCAGGCTCTATTTTTGCTAAATGTTATTTGAACAAATAGGGGAAAACAAAGAGTAAAGTAATTGAAGCAAAGCAAGGCAAAGCGCTAGACAAAAACACAAAACAAAAACAACATTATATATATATTTCTTCACACGCATATATATATATATTGTTCAATATTATTATTATCTTATATATATTGTATGATTGCTACATAAAATAGTTCTTTTGATACTTTGTACATGTTTACTTTAAAGCAAGGCATGAAAAAAAAACAAAAGCAAAATGTAAGCCCCTAGCATAACTTGCATATAGTACCATATAGTACCGATAAACGTATATAGAACCCGGAATCCATAATCCATAATCCAGCCAGTGTCGAAAATTGAAGCATATTTAGTAAACCTTGTTTAAATCACACTTTTTCGGACCGCTACAACAACCACTCACACACAACCAACTCACAACAACAACAGAGAGCAACTGCAATAAGCCCGATTTATAAAACACTCAGCAAAGTTAATGGAAATGTTGTATAATAACGTATAAATCATTTATATAGCGCTTCAGAAACAGCAAACACTCACACAACAAAATAATATATATATTTAAATGCAAATGCAAAATGAAAGAGTATAAAAAAAACAAACCACACAAGATGAACAACAACAACAACAAAAAACGAAAGTGTCTTAAAAACGTAGTATTAGAAGTTTATTATTAATAATTTGTTTGTACTTTAAAGTAAAATATTTATAGAAAAGGAAAAAATACAAAGATTTAATATACACAAAAAATAAAACAAAAGTGTTTTTTTTTCTAGGTAAGGAAGTATTTTGGGAATCATTTCATTTTAAAATTTTATTTATAATATTTAGGTTTTTCTCTTTTAACAGGCATCCCCAGTATTAAAACAGCAAATGAGGGTTTCTTTAAAAAGGTTACGACAGGAAGCTACAATTCGTCAGGATACCAGCAAAGACCAGGATTCATCAGCATTTCAGGATTATAATCTTTTTTAAAGTTCAAGGAAGATTTATAAGATACCAAAGCAATTTAAAAGTTAATAGCCAAAAAAGGTAAGAGTGCGGCATCTGAGCAGAGATATGGAGGCAGACTTAAAGGAACATCACTGCTTAATACCTCAACAGAAAAAAAGAGAACGTGGATTAAAACTGAGTTAAGATCTTTTTAATTCTCTAGAATTGTCTTCAGGTAACCAATAATCAATCCAACTTAATATAGTTTTATTATAATTTTTATACCTTTTCAGGGAACGATAATTTTATTTAAAAGCTTGAAAAATGTGAAGTTTCACATTCTTTCATGAAATACTTAGAATTTAAAATTATTATTAATTTATTATATATTTTATTTAATGCTCCCTATGTAAAGTATGTTAACTAAAGCACAGAGATACCAAAGGATAAAGAGTTTAGTTTGCATCAATACCAATTTTTTTGAAAAATGTTTAATTTACCATTTCTCTTTTCACTTATCATATTTTAGGAAATTGCAATTGGAAATTGGTCTGCCTTCACTGATGATGATCACATTAAATCCCCGGAACATCCTGTGATTCCACCCGGTGGCCAGCTAACAACATTGCCGCTGTGCCAGGATAACTCTGACAGCTCTCTCTCTGCGCAGGCGCACTGTCTGGATTGTCGGCTTTCGAGGAGCTGAGTCGGAACACAGGAGCAGCAAGCAGCCGCCGACTGGCAGTTGAGAGCGAGTGGCCGCCGTGAGCAGCACGGCAGAAGCGGAGCAGGCAGCAGGAGCCCCCAAGCCAAACGCAACACGTAACAGAGCCGGAGCAGGAGGAGGAGGAGCAGGGGAGCGTGAGCGGGCGCCATAGGCTTTCAGTGCTGTATATACACGCGCAGGAAGTCAACGAAAAAATAGAATTAAATTAAAAACGCCCGTCGCGCTGCCAAGTGAGTGAGTTATCCATCGCGCTAATTACTTCCCCAGAACCAGACATACATATGGCTTAACTAGGTGTCCTGGCGACAACGAGGGTCGTCCTGGGCAGCAGCTATAACTGCCCCCGTCAAGTGGTCTCAGAGGTGCTGTGAATACTTTACAGCTTTCGTGCCAGCAAAACAGATATGTATCAGCGGCCAATTCCCAGTCCGGCCAGCAAATGATCCCCACCTCCTCGATGGGGGCAACTACTCGTGCAACAGCAAACGGCAACAACTGCAGTGGCAAGTGTTGACGCTTAAGGATGACGTCCTACTTTTCGAGTGTGTTTGTTGCCAGTTCAGTTGTGTTTTTTTTTACTTTTCGCTCAAGTGTCCTAGTTTGGGTGTCTGTGTGCGGCTATGACGTAGTTTGCCAAGAGTCGGAATGTGTGTCGCCGAGTGTGTGTGTGTATACACACCAACAAGTGGCGAAAGCGCCAAAAAAGGAAGTTTAGGAGTTGCTTTTGGGGGTGGAAAACATGCTTTTGCTTTGAAGGAGCGTTAAGTATACGCCATGTCGACCTAAGGAAAAAGAAAGAAATTTTAGCTAATTAATTATCTATATCATAATTATTAATTCTATATATTTGAACTCACTTCAGAATCTCCTGTCACATCCGTGGAACATGCAGAGAGCTCGCCATTGGACGTCGTGGTAGAAGTACTCCCGATACAATGCTCATCCGCCTGCGCTATGGAAGACGACTGCAGACCTATCTAAAGATAGGTGCCTGTGTCCTTGTGGGTCTCTGCTACTTTGCCTTCCTCTTCCGCGAATCCCTCAATGCCTACGAGCATCGGGAACGGGCCACAGCTGCCGAATTGGAGGCGGAATCGGAGCCCTCGAAGCAACAGCTGAAGCTCAAGCGTCAGCAATTGCAGCGTCAGCGATTGCTGATCAAGCAGCAGGGCAAGGGGACCGCCGGCAATGCCAGTTCCAGCGGCAACTCATCACCTTCGGTGGCAGTGCCTCCTCCACCGCTGCCGGTGAGCACTCTGAATCCCGTCTACGAGTACTCCGAGGAGCTGCACAGTCGCACTGAGAAGGAATTGCAGCGGAGGAGCGAACACCTGGCCGCCGTCTGCGATCGCTATAAGCTGCAGGAAAAGTACCCACCGAATCCCTGGGAATTCTTCGTCTCGCCGGGCCACAACAATCTTGTTTGGTTAGTGGAAATTAATTGTTAATATTATAATAATTATTATTCGATTTTATCAGAGCTTTTGTTAAAGCGTTTTATACCCTTGCAGGGTATTATAATTTTATTCGGAAGCTTATAAAGCAGTAAAGGAATCATTTCCGACCCTATAAGGCATATATATTCTTGATCAGCATCAACAGGGAAATCTCTTCAGCTTTATCCGGCCAAAAAAATGTTTCAGAAGTTTCCCATTTTTTGCAAATTAGGAAAGGGGTTACATCATTAAAATTTGCAAAAATCGGCCAAAAATTCACATTTTAAATGGAGTATGCAGTTTTATTAACCTACTAAAAATTAACATACGAACGTTTTCCGAATAGAAATTAATGCGTTTTTGCTTAGTTATGAGATTTTGAAATTTGATTTTTCGAAAAAATGTTCATGTAAAAATATCTATGAATATATGTATACTTATTCTTAGTTATGATGATTATGATTAAGTTGTATATAAACTCCGTCTTACCGAAGTTAGTTCCTGTTCTTGTTAACAATGATTTTATTTGTTGTGTTTTTTTCAGGTGTAATGTCTTCAAGGCAGCCAGCAGTACATGGATGTATTACTTTAATATACTTGGTATGTATCTCAGGAATACATCTTTTTAATAAGAGCATGGAATTTGCTTTTGAATTTGTCCTTTAAGATACTAATATAGATTTAGAAGCTAGCTAATCGAGAGCTAAGTTAAAACAAAGTCTTAATTTATTCTAAATAAACATGTACATTGTAAACAATTCAGATTTGATTCAGGTTTGTGTTTTGTTTTAGGACCTATTATTTCTGTTGCTAATCTCCCACCCTTCTTCTATATCAATTACAATTTATAGAAAATTACAGCACTGACGTTTGCTTTTATAAATATGTAAAGCCTTTTTATAAAATCTAGATTATTACCTGCACCTTACTCTCGATTAATGTATATCTGAACTTCTTTATAAGCACCAGTAGTTAAATAATTTATCGGTTAAGGGTATAACTTAGCATTATTAAAGTTTAAAAAATACATTTACTTATCTTTAATTGTTGTTTATTCCCTTAGCTGGCTACGATGTGAAGTATCTGCAGCGAACGGAGACACAGCCGCTGGAACTGGCCCGCAAGCGTTTTCCTCGCCCGGAACTCGCTGAGCTAATGGAGCTGCTGCCCAGTGCATTGTCCTTCCTATTTGTGCGCGATCCCTTCGAGCGGATCCTGAGCGCCTATCGTAACAAACTGGAGGGCAACAAGAACACCTTCTACAAGGCATTGGGTACCAAGATCGTGCATCGCTATAGAAAACGGGAACTGGGCGGACCATGGCCCAGATGTGGACCCACCTTTGAAGAGTTCGTGCGCTTCCTGATCGCTGAGCATGCGGCGGGCAAGAAATTCGACGAGCACTGGGCGCCAGTCTATAGCTTCTGTACGCCCTGCAGTGTTAACTTCACCATCATTGGCAAGACGGAGACATTCCAGCGCGATTCGGAGTTTATTATCCGCCAGGCAGGATTGGAATCCCTTCTCCTGGGGCTGGGAAAGTTGCCTCAGCGAAAGCAGCGCAAGATCGGCAACCAGGCGCGTAGTGGCGTTAAATCAGAGGTCCTGGTCGAGCGCTATTTCGCCGATCTCGATCGCTCAACGTTGGACCAATTGCTCAAGATATATCGCATCGACTTCGAGCTGTTTGACTATGATTACCGCAAATACTATGATATGGTGCATCCCTGGAGTCAGGAGCAGACCACGGTGGCAGCTGTCCAGGCATCCACCACAGCTTCTACGATGTCCTCGGCCGCGGTCTCTGCCTCCGCGGGAAATGTGGGGGATGCCAATCAGGTGACGTAGAGTTGGAGTCTAAAAGTCAAGCCAGCTCGGGAGTGATGAGTCGTGAAACAATCTTATCATGTACCTTTTTACACAAAAACTCAAACCATACACACGATACAAACACAAACCAGAGTTGTGGGTAATGGATAGGGATTTAATTGATAATTATTTGGTTTAATAAGTTGTAAAGTCATAGATTCCCTTTTCTTTAGTCTTTTGTTATTATTCTTATATAAATGAAAGTTTAACTGTAGAGTACTTTAACTCTATGAAAAGTGAGCATTATGACACTCACCCTTAGCCCCTTCAATTACTTCCTTAAATATAATAAAATTGTTTAGTTAACATTATAAACACAACTCTGGCTCACAGACACTCACACTATAAACAAACCCAACCGAAGCTAACAAATCTACCAAGAAGTTTAAGGCCAAATCAACGTTTTCCAAAAACGCAAAACCAAAAAGCAAAAAAACACTCTTGACCTCTCTTAGATAATGCCAAAAAAACTAAAACTTAAAAACAAAGAAAGTGAAGAAGGAGAACCCAAGGAAACTTAGTTAGAACATTTAGCATTTTGATGGATTTTTTCAGCCACCAAAATTTGGAAGATAAAACCCCCCTCAGAAATTTTACATGGCGTGGCGACATGTGTGTTGTGTTTGTAGTTAGTTAATAAGTACCTACAATTTACAGTTGCACACTCTCAAACCGAACGAAAACGTAAACGAACACAGAAAACTTAACGAAAATGCAAACGATATATACTTAACATAGATATATATATATATATATATACAGACCTCTACACCAAAATATCGCAAATGCTATTTCTTCAAGGCAAGGCTGGGGAGTTATATACAACCAAAAAAAAAAGGATAAGAAAAGAACACAAAGTGAGAAATCGTCTTAAACCAAATGAAAATTCTGTATTTACATATATTTACAACCGAGATCCCAACCCAAAGATAAGATACCAAAGCCCTCAACCAAACCACAACATATGGTACTTACTATTATTAAGTTATTATATATATATATCTATATATATATGTATAAACGAAATTTATAAACAGGTCTTGATCTAAGTCTATAACTTTTGTGGACTAGATTCGTTTTTTCCTAGGCTAAGCGATGACGAAACAAACGAAAGATATTCAAATTTTCGAAACCAAATGATACCAAAGAAAGTATAGAAAGTATTTAAAACGAAATAAAAAAAAATTATAAATGAAAACCCAACAACAAGAAAAACTTTTCATGTGATGTTTAAGGATTTATTATGAAGACAGAGAATATTTAATTATTATACTTATACTGTATTTCGAATAACGATAAAACAAAAACTAAAAACACACGATATTATTCTAAATAAATTTAAATTTTCAAAACTTTTTTCGTTGTACGAATACAAGGCAACAAAGTCATTAAGAATAAATAATCTCTTTACCACTCAATTATCAAGTTTTTACTTTAATTGTTCAACTATATGTCGAGGGGGGAAGTACCTTCTGTACTCAAAATGATGTAATTTCTATATTACGACTGTGATAATATCATGAGTCATTACCGGTTGCAATCGCTGTAAATGAGGAAAAAGTATTTAATAAAATTCAGTTACGTTCATTTTTCATCATTATAAATAGTTTTATTTTCATTGATCAACACAAACGAGTTATATATATATTTATATATTTAGTTGGTATAGATTCACATCATTTAAATATTCAATAGATATAGTAAGGTAGTAATAATCATATGTATTTTTTCTTGTTGCTTTCTCACTTTGTTTTTTTTTTTTTTATGTTTTAAGATTTAAATGTAAATGGTTATGCTTTTGCATTTAATACAACTTTAAAAGTGAATGCTCGACACTAATACATCATCTACAAGCTATATGTTTTGTGTGTTTCTTAAACTGTTTATAACATTTAGTTAAAGCGCTGTGACCTCTTCGATAAGGGGTCAACCAAAGCAGCAAACAAATAAATAAATTGAGAACGACAAACATTAAGGTAAGATATTTAAAATTATTTATTGCAGAATATATTTTAATATATATCTTTTAATTCTTTTCAGATTTCTTTCATCTCTCACGTTGTTTTGAATGTGCTTCACGCTTTCCTTAAATGTAATGTATATGTTTTTGCTTCACTACACGATAATATAATATAATATAATAATAATAAGCTTAGCTTGCAACTAAAATTATGTACACGATAGGAATACGTATGGTTATATATAATATATAGTAGATATAATTAATTGTGTAATATGTACAGTAGCAAATACCTAGCAATAATTCATCTTCATTCTCCGCTGTGCTAAGGAAACTTGGGATGCATACAAGAGGACGCGGTGACCCCCAAACTATTGCACGAGGTGGTCACCGGATGTGAATAGCTATGCAAATAGAGGTTAAATAGAAATTCATCTTCTTGTGGGCGGGATGACCCTAAGGATATTTTTAGCTCCGAGTTTGACGAGATCTATATAGTTATAAACATACATGTATAAATAGATACAAGACTCAATACAGTGGATAGATATATGTCTAAGTCAGGTTATACATAAGGATAGAGACAAGCATGCATCGATATCTAATAGTTAACACTCTTTTTGGACTCCCAATATATAGATATATACTCTTAAGCTTATGTTTAAAACTTGTGTGTGTGTGTGTGTACTGGCGCCATGGAACTTTCTCTACTCTCTACTCTCCGCTTCTCAACTCCTGCCACTTTGATCCCATCAAAGTCTCTCTGTCTCTTCGCTCTCTCTCCTGCTCCAGCGCCTGCGCCACATTGAGCCGGGTTACTCCGCCAATATCATCTTGATGCTGGCCACCTCAGACTCCAGGCGCTCCAGCTGCGACTTGAGCATCTGATCACGCTCCGCACTGGACACCACATTGGTGGTTTCCTTGGGCGCCAGCAGCTTGCGTTGCAGCTGCGCCGTCCACTCGGCACTGGCAATGGAGATACCGGAATCACGTTCATCGCTGGAGTTGTCACCGCCATCGTTCCAAGCCGGCGGCGATGCCCGGTTGCAGTTGGGCTCCTGCTTGATGTGCTGCAGCGAGAGGAGGGCTGTGGCCGCCGCATCCTTGTCCCCCAGATGGGATTTGTGGCGCAGTTTCAGCGGCAGACAATTATTGGCATCGCTGCCCTGCTGGGAACTACTCCTCTGGAGCTGCAGGGGAGCCAAGTGCGCTGGTTCATGTTCCTGCTCATCATCTCCCGAGACAGCGCCCGAAGAGGAGGCAGAGGACAGGGCGGAGGAGGAGGTGGTCGAGGAGAGCATGTGCTCGTAGCTGGGTGAACACGCTCGCCGCGACAGATTCAACACGCTGGCTGCACTGCCGGCCACCGAAGAGCTGCTAACCGCATCCACGGCACTGCTGCTTACGGCAGCCTCAACGTTGTGGCTCCAGGCTGAGCCAGCTCCTGCCGCCCCAGGTGATCCTTGTAAGCGTTGGGTGCCGGGACATACAATCCAGCGGATGGCGGCGGTGGAGGAGCAGCAGCAGCGGCTCCACAACAGCCGCCGCATTGTAGAGGGCCCCGGCGGCCACAGCTTTGCGCAAGCTATCCAGATCCTCGGGACGCACATTCCTGTTCAGTGCCTGCTGCAGTTGCACCTGAAGATTGGCAATGGTGCTGGGTGGCGGGCGGTTGTGCGGATCGGCAATGGTTGGTGAACTCGAGCCGGCACTTGGACTGGGCTCCTGTTGCTGCTGCGACTGCTGTTGCTGCGCATGCTGCTGCTGGTGTGGAGGGAGCTGATGTTGCTGCTGCTGCTGCTGCTGCGGGATCTGTGGCTGGTAGAGATGCTGCTGAGGCTGGGCGTGGGCACAACCAAGGTCTGCAGGTGTGAGGGTGGTGGAGGCACCTGAAGCGGAGCACCTGCATGCTGTATGTGATGCACACTCTTCACTGTGGCCTCCTGCCGGGCATTGCCATTGGGTCCATAGATCAGCGGAGATAGTGGCGGTCCCACGGGATAACCACTGTGACTGTGGCCACCTGGAGATGAGCCACCACCGGAGCCACTGTTCGAGGGCGAGGAGCCCGAGGAGGAACCGCCACTGCCGCTCATCTTGGCTCGCTTGGTGTTGCTCAGCACCTGCTCGCTGGTGGGCAGCGAGGCCAGGATCTTCTCCACACTGACCAGGTTCTCGCCGGAGATATTAAACTTGTCACGAATGGCATCCAGTTGGGCCTTAAGCACATGATTCTCCTTGGTCAGCTCAATGACACGCTGCTCGAGGACCATGTCGTTGTAGCGTCGCTTCTCTCGGCTCCTCTTGGCCGCCTCATTATTGCGTCTCCGCCGATCCCAGTAGCTTTCATCCTTTTTGTTATCGGTGTAAACTCCCGCTGCTTCCGCTGCGAGAAGAGCTCCTTTTGGGCAGCCGTCATGGCCGATTGGGGACCATTGCCATTCTGTGATGATTTACCCATCATGTTGTCATCGTAACCATTTCGAGGAGCAAACTTGCCCAGGCTGTCGGACATGCCACTGTCATTGGACTGGGGACTGATGAACCTCCATACATGGACAAGGGATGCACTGCAAGGGAGAAGAGTTAGGGAAATAGTATTTTGTTTATTAAGAATAAAGAATCAAGAATTTAAAAAAATCTAGGGAATGCATCTGCAATGTCTTGGAAATACTTACAATTTGTGGCCTCGTTGGAGCTGCCGTTCATCGACAGCGTTGGCGAGATATTGGTTAAACGGACGTTGTTCATCATGGCGATCGAGGCGCTGGCGATGGCTTTGTTGTGGCTATTAGTGGGCGTGGCGCTGAGCACTTCGGGCATTGCTGTTGCCACTGCTGCCTCCGGATAAAGCTTGGCTGGCGGTGCCAGCAACAGAAGCGACTCCTCCTTGCCTCCGGTATGAGGGCGTGGTCCGTAAGGACTAAAGTCGCCGGCGCTTAGCTTCTGCTGGCTGATGTGCTGCAGCTGGGCGAGCGTCTGCTGGAAGTGTTGCTGCTGATGTTGCAAGTTGCTACCGCTGTTGCTGCTGCTGTGATGCTGCTGGATGCGGGGAACTGTAAGGGGGAGAATAGAAGGTAATGGTATTATTAATATTATTATTATTATGAATTGTAATTTTTTATTTTGTTGTTTTTTAATTTGTTATTTTGTAAAGGGTATTTTAAAATGCTTATCTATAAGAACTCAATAGCATTGTTAGTTCATATATAAAATCTCAAGTCATACAATAAAAATATTTAAAAAATATAGATTTTTGTATTGCAATAGCCTTTTTCTTTTCGTTTCTCAAGTTTTTCAACTTTAGCCTTCAATAAATTCTAAAATGCCGAATAACTAACTGTATTAATATATTTTAAATTTTTCTAACATAGAATATGTTCAATATTAAAAAAAGGTTAAGAATATTTTGTAAAAACATTTTTATACAAATATTTATTGTTATAACTATTTCCCGTAATATACCTTTACGGAGTCATAAATAAAATTTTGAACGATTAAAATTTCTATCACAGTTTCATTTATTTCCCTTTTCCCAAAATTCTATACTTTCCAAGCTTCTATATGAATCATTAATTTTTATAATGTTTATTAATATTGTTTTTCGTTTTTTTCTTTTAAATTAATAGATCTTTTATCATTAATGACTAACTATCACATTTTGCGTCTCAATCCCTGCGCCTAGAGGCAGGCAATGTTTTTTCTTGTTTTTTTTTTTTTTTTTTTTTTTTGGCAACTACAAAATAATAATAAACAAATAAGACCTTGCTCCCAAATCGAAATCAAAGATTACGCTGAAATATCTCTTTTCCTGCCACCAAAACAATTCGCACTTATCACTTTTTTATGGCATTTCTTTCAAAAAGCGGTCTTATCTCGCTTCTGTCACACATGGCGAATAAATACAGGTAAATATAGTAAGTAGTTTCTCCCTTATCACGGAATTGTTAAAACGAAAAAGAATAGGTCTCCTTAGATGGCAAGTCCCGTTAATGTCTAATGCGATCTTGTCTGGCCACGCACACACATATACAAGCGCCACACGCACACACAGAACTCTCTTTGTTCGATGGTCCTTGCCCTTGCCTTTGCCCTTGCCCCACGACCGCCGCCCCACCAAGCATTTGCTTTCGTTTTTAGCGCAAGCATTTACACAATGATTACGGCCAATGATGCAAGAATCACCGAGCGAGCGAGAGAGAGAGAGAGGAGAGCGAAAATTAGACGGGGGACAACAAAGAACGTAGAACCGACACAGACACAAAGACGCAACGTAAACAAGAAATCGCACGTCGCAGATTTTGTGGGGGCCCTCTGTATGAGTGTGTGTGTGTGTGTTGGGTTCTTTCTCCCCCCCCCACTCTACCACTACTCTCCTCCTCTTTCTCCTTCTTTCTGTCTCTCACCCTCACCGTGACCATCGAATTGGCATTTACAGTTCAATGTGCTCGCACTCTGGCCAGACGCTGCCGGCGTCGACGCTGGCCGCGCAGCTGCCGGCAACCCCTAAGCGAGCGAGGGAGGCAGCGACATAGAAGAGAGCGACGGCAGCGCTGCAGTCTCGCGCGTCTTGACAAAATTCACAAAAACAAAATGACTAAGCGGAGGCCCCCCTCTTTCTCCGCAAATATTTTCACTGCCATTTTTTTTAATATTTTGTTTTGCGTTGTTATTGTTCTTGAACACGGGATTATTAACTGTTGTATTATTTTTTTTTTGCACCTACATTGTATTTGCTTGTTGTTGTTGCTGCTGCTGTTGGTATTATCCTGGTAATTGGTATCCGTACTATTTTTGAGTATCAGCAGATTCTTGGTCGTTGCAGCCGCCTTAAAAAAGTTCACTTTTTGCTCCAGCGTGCAGACAATCGACATAATGTTATATTTTTACGCTTTGGCATGACGTTTAGTAAGCGAAATGTATGTTTTTTTACTTTTAAAAAATTATTTTTCAGTAATATTTCTCAACTTGATAACTTTGACAATTAATCACTTTTTTAGAATCACTTTTTGATGCTTTCTTTCTTCAAATGGTTCTTGTGGCTGGCTTTGTTGGCTAGCGCGCCGATTCTGCGGTTAGTGCACTTGGCCGAAATGCTTTTAAGCGAAATTCTCGAAACGAACGAACGAAAAACGGAACTCTTCTTATCTCGACCGATCGGATTTTGCTTTGTATATGTTTTATATTGTATTTGCGTTTGCTTGGCGAGCGCTGGCACAACCGCTTCGATAGAACGCCGAATCGCAATTGAGCTTTACAAACTTCGCTTTGGACTTGTAAAAGCATTTCTCCGCTGAACTGCGCTGCGCCTGCTCGACGGTCACGTTGAGTTGCACGCATACGCTACACGCGACCGAGCCGCTACGACGCGACGTGTTCGATGTTGTCGGGTAAAAGTGAAATTCCCCAATGGGTGTCCCATCGAACTGGGTTTGAGGTTCGAACTGGTTGGGTTGCAAGCGATCACATTGCCGTTGTTGAGTAATCAGCGAGCGCGCAATCTGAAATCGTTTTGAGCTGCACATTCGAAACTAGAACGTGATTTGGCCAGAGGATGGTTTGAGGAGGGTGGGGGTTGCGACGTCGCTCTTGACGCTCAAACACATACAACACACACACACATTCATACACAGGTGACTTGCTTTGGCCGCGTGAGTTTTCAGCCTGATTCTGTTTCTGATTCTGATTCTGATTCCAATTCGGATTCTCGGCTTGTGGCTTTGTGTGTGTGAGTGTGAGTGTGTGCCAATTGGAATTGGTGGTGACGCAAGCGTCTTACACAAAATATTCAGAGAAATACAAATGCAAAAACAACCAACATATTATTAACCAGAAATAAATGGAACGATGGGAAAACCCGAAGTCTACAATACCCTTGAAATATGATTCTGCTTGGAAAACATTACATTTTAAAGATTATATTTATATTATCTTTGAAGGATAATCTCTAAACAAAAATCATAATAGATTTTTAAATTATTTAAAACAATACATTAATGATTAAAATAAATAGTAAAAATGGGTATCTTCAAGATTTATTGGAAATTTTCGAAGTTTTTAAACACGTCTTTTAAAAATCATTGCATACTTTTTACGGTAGAATTAAGGATACCTAAGGAAGATGACTGAACAACTCTCTTATTATCTTAAACTATATGCAAAAATATTCATAATTTGAAATTAAATACCCTAACTTATATTTAAATTATACAAAATATTTTGTATATAAAAAATAAGCAAAATACCAACAGAAAAAACGTAAACCTTCTATAAGTAAGTTCTGAAGAATGCATTTTTTTGCATACAAATACATAAAAGGTAATGCAGTTCTGTAATTGCTAAGTGTAAAATAAAAATGCATAAAAATTACCAGCAAAGAGTTCATTATGGCAATAAGCGTGGCCATATGGAATTTGCAAATAAAAAAATATTGATGAATAAACAGTTTTTAGGTATTACAAAATAATATATGTAAATGTGAAATAATAATTCTTGGCAAAAGCTTGGAGTTCTTTTTTCAAAGTTTCTAGGCTTTCTTAGAATATTTTGTAAATGTTTTTCCTGTTTCTTTAATGTATTTTATTAGATAATTTAATATAATTTAAAAAATATTTACTACCTAAATATTTATAAGAAATTGATAATAGGTTTAGTTAGGTTAAAAAATAGATAATACATAAATAATGGATTTTTAAATTGCCTATACATGTCTTCAAATAAAATGTACAAGTTTATATATGAAAAAGTGATGACTTGATGGCTGATCCATTACAGATTAAAATTTCATGATTCCCCATTTCAAAGTGGATTTTTCATAAAATAAACCCTACCTACACTCCGTCTAGACTCCAAACCAAACACTTAACTCCCATATATATTTATGGCAAAATCAGCAGACAATTAAAAAATATAGTTAGTACCCGTGAACTTAGGAAAACCAATAGAGAGATATAGATAGATATATATAGACAGGTCACGTGGCTTTAGTAACTTTGGATATTTGCAGTTTGTAAACTGAACAAGTTAAGTAAATGATAACCAGTCACGGCGATATCTTTGCAGCCACCAAACTGTCTGGTGCGGCATTACAAAACCATTCTGCTACAGCTTATATAAATTAAATTAAACACTTGGGCCCCTGGGGTTGAGATACGCTTATCAACCGCATTATCAACTTAGTTGCAGTTAAAAAAAAAAACAAAAAACATAAGGGAACAAGACCCAGAAAGCTGTCAAACAATGCCACTTCATATGGCAAACAAAGACGACGACGACTTGGAAGTAAAAAGTAAGGTCGGGACACATTATGTAAGTTCCGCCTTCGTTGCTGAATCACAAATGAGGAAAGCAATACAAAACACAACAAACACACACAGGGATCGATCGATAGAATGAATTCTATTGAATTATTAACGACGACGGTTTCAAAACTGATTACAACATGTCATAAAAAATACAAATGTAAAGAAAACCAAGGAGTAATTGAGGAAATAACAAGAGTGGAACGAACTCCGGGAAGCCGAAAATTAATACCCTAGAATTGGAAATCGCTTTAGCTTAAAATATTCGCATTCTTTGAGTCGTTATTTGTTGATATTATTATATGAGAATTTTAGGAAAAATCAAAAATAAATAAACTCAAAACTATGCCAAAAAAGCGTTTATTTGTTTATTTATTTTGTTGGGGTAATAAATCTGCATACTAAATTTAAAATTTAAGAAAATTAAACATTTTAATCATTTTTAATTTAAATTTTTAAATTTTAACGATGTAACAACCCCTTATCTTAAAAAAAATTCGAAAATTTTATTTTCAACCGGCATAGCTAGATCGATTCGGCTTTTAATGCTGAACAAGAATATATATGATTTATAGGGTCGGAAATAACTTCTTCTGACTAAAATTATGATACCCTGTAAGGGTATAAAAGGAAACCCAAAACCTGATAAAGTGCAGTACATAAACATGGCATTATCTTCTTTAGATTACTTCTCTTCCCCGGAAAAGCTTTATTATTAGACCAGGAAAAACTTGATGGCAATATTATCGCTGTTCATTATGTAAAACTGGGGAGTATTCATGCTGCAATAATTGAGATATTACTTAAGGGAAATATTTGTTCAAGTTTGAGATAAGGAAAAAATGCATAGTAGTGACACATGATGACATATATGTCATACTACTATATAAGTAGAGGTTTGTAGTATGTTTAAATACTATTAAGTAAATAGGAAAAATATAACAAAGTGGGTAGATGTGAAATAATCATGTGTAATATTGAATTATAATATAATATTTTATAAATTTATATGATATATTTTAATTTATTTAAAATTGTATACATATTTCAAAGTTTACCTTACTTTCTATATACTAATGAGCGTGTTATTTATGCTTATATATTATATAGGAACTTTTCTCTTATTACATTTCAGATTAAAACTTGATATGATATATTTGATATGATATGATATGATGATTTTGATATTGATCATTATGATATTATTGATAATAACTTCTTTGTATAATTACCAACTCAATAAACCCTTCATAAACCCCTCTTTAAATACCAACTTTTAAACCCATTATTATAACTGACCTGCACACTGGATATTATATATTACATGTTCTTAATTAATGCTCTTTGCAATGTTCCAGCTACGAAACTAGTGCAAAATCTGGATTATTTATTAGCAACTCAATTGATCATTCCGTTAATAGTAATTCCCTGTGATCGATCGCTAAAGCAAAATCCCAATTACACGATCACTAAGCGATATCCACGTGAGCAACGGGATTCACGTGTCCCAACCAATTGTGTGTATCCCCCGAAAAGCCCCAACTTACATCCGTTTTTTATACATATGAACCAGACCCAGTCTCGAATCCCAGCCATTATTATCAGTATGCAAATATACGTAGAGTAGGTCTAGCCTGGGCCCTTATCAAATTCTGTGCAAGAGTGTTTGGCATTTCAACTACTGCAGTTCCAACACACACACACGCACAACTATAAGGTAATCAGTCCAGGGTAGGGGAGGGGAGGCAGGCGTAACACTAAAAGGTGTTACGAAACACCTCAGCCTTCAGCGGCGTCGTTCTCCAGCAACAACTAAAGAAAGAACCACCCCCACCCCTGCCTGAATACATCAGCAGTCAAGTCTCTGTGTTGCTATTTATATTTTCATTGCACAGAGGAGAGGCGTGCGCGCTGCCTCTGCCGCTGCCGATTCGCCGGGGAAAACGCTCAGCGCTAAACGCTGAACGCTCGACACTCGAGCGGTCGTCACGTGTCGGAAAATGTGAACAGCGGCGGCGTTGCGACGCTGCCAGCATCGGCGGGCAGTGCAACGCTCCCGGTTAGCGGCTTTCGACGGCTCACATGTTGGCGACTCAAGTCCCGCGGCTACGCAAGCCAATTGGAAATTAACGTGTTACCCACTTATTGCGATTGTTTTTAGAATTCCCTCGGTACAGTGGAGATTGCTGATAATGGGAAAATGCCTCAAATGCATTTTATACCCTTGCAAGAGTATTATAATTTGAATTAGAAGCTTGCTAAGCATTAAAGGAGTCATTTCCGACCACGTAAATCATATATATTCTTGATCAGCATCAAAAGCGGAACCGATCTAGCCATGTCGGGTTGAAAATAAAATTTTCAAAAATGTTAAAATGTTCGTCGTTAAAATTTTCAACAATTTTTAAATTTTGATTTTTTTAAATTTTAAAATTAGTATGAAGATTTTTATACCTAACAAAAACTACATAGGACAACTTTCCGAATTTAAATTAAAGCTTTTTTGGCTTAGTTAAAGTTTTTTAAACTTTGGTTTTGATACAAAGAATGCAAATATTTTAAACTAAGTTACGACCGATTTCCGTTCGTTATAAATAAATTGCAATTAAATAAATTAAATTAAATTTCAATTTATATTCGGATTAACCACAAAACCTAGTATAATTACCTATTTTTTCTCTAAAAAAAACCATTATTATATTGCTTAATAATAATATAACAAAATCGTACACTGCGTATACTTAATATTTTCTACTCCTTATAAACATAAAAGTAATATTAAGTAAACTTGTTACTTGACCAAGTATTGAATTTTAAAAATGTTAGGCCTTAAAAAATATATAAAATAATAATAAACAATATTCCAAAATCATCCACTGCGTATACATAATATTTTATACACATGAACAGAACAGCAAGTAATATTACGTATA